TTCAAGTTTTATTGCTGGCTTTTTTTCTGGAAAATCTCGGTGTGACCCTAGCCCCTATGGTCTTTCCAGTGTCTTCAGGACCATTGTCTTGCCTTCTTGTTACCTGCGAGACCCTTTCCCTCCCATCAGATCTCAAAGATAACATGCACACCCAGGACGTGAGCAGATCACGGACTTGGATTTGCCTTAACTGACCCATCTGCAGTGACATTCTCTCATTTTTTACGTCTGAGTAGTTAAGGTGCTTTTTTCTTATTTGCTTGGCTCCATTTCTGCTGCTTGAGGTTTCTGCTGGAGTATAATTAGGTGGGGCTGAGCAAGATAGCGGTGTGCTGTCACGTTGAAGGCCTGATGCTGCCGAGGGGAATCTTCCAACCCTTGGCAGCAAGTACCTCTGTGGCGTTTGTTGTGTTTTTACAAGACTTCTGCATGAACTGTAGCAGGGCAGGGCACCGGGTGTGCTCAGAGTTTGGGTGTGATCAGGATGTGGGTGCAGTCAAGGCTGCTCGAGCCCCCCTGGTGCTGACCCCCGAGACAATCGGGATGCTCTGCAGAGACAGCAGTTCCTTTGTTCCCGTGACGCAGATCTGGGTGTTGAAGGGAAATGGGTGAATTTAATTGAAAGGGATACAAAGGAGACGAGTCAGAGACAGCTGGTAAGAAATTTCGCTTCGCTCTGTGTTCGGGGGAGGGACTGAATTACTGAAGATAATTGTCTGAGGGACCAAAGATAGGGGAGTAAACTTGAAAGAAGGTGACCAAAGATAAAGCAGTGAACTTTAAAGACGGTGTTAAAGATTCTCTATTCTCTTTTCATGTGCCATCATCATTTCTCCATCGTGTGGAGCTGATTATTGTGCTTTCTCCTGTGGCCAGGATGCCCAAAGCAGGTACCATGTGGGCATTTGCTATGAGAAGGGCCTTGGAGTGCAACAGAACCTGGCAGAAGCGATGAGACACTACTGGCAGTCAGCTGCTGCGGGCAACAGGAACGCTCAGGAGAGACTGCGAGTGTTGGAAGAGGAGGTGGAAGGTACCACGGGCAGTGGGGGAAGAGGGTATGGAGGACCACATGGGATAGTGAGCCCATGAAAAGGACCACGTGGGATAGTGACCCCATAAAAAGGGACACTCATATTGCCAGAAGGAAGGTAGCACAGGGCCATGGCAAGAAGAAATCCTTCTCAGTGAAGGAAGCACTTTTCCTTTTTGGTTCTTTCAACTTTTTACCAGCTCTTTCCACTCGAGCTGAAGCACAGAAGCTGTTCCGATAGTATGATGTATCATTAGTACCTTGTTTTAATGGATTTTCAGGTGTGCAAACAAAGCATCCACTCCCTTCCAGAATAAGAGCGTCTTCCTCCAGCCCCTGTTTCTGGGCTGTCGAGCGTGTGTCCGCAGGCCTCCACGCCACCCAGCCAGGACAATCTGCCCTCACCCTGTCCCACTCTTGGAGCGCCGACGGGCTCCACATGATGATGCTCAGCGGTGCAGGATGGAGCCGTGCCCTTGGAAATGGGGCAGCGCCACTGGAACTGCCGTGCTTGGAGCCCCACCACTGCTGTTTTTAGAGGAGTCGGTAAGTGAAAGCAGCAAGCAGAAGGGAAAGCAGCCCTTCTTGGTCTGTGTGGAGCTAGAAGCAGGCTAGCAGTGAGCGGAACGAGAAAGTTTTCTGTTGTTGGAGCAATTTTTAAATATCAGGGGTTTGAGAATAAACCTTGTGGTATCTCCTGCGCCACCCTGTCCTCTGGCTATCAGCCTTCCGATACTTTCCTTGTGCACCTACCTTTCTGCACAGAGCTGTACGTGCCACGGAGATGTGGTTTGAAAGGGCTATAATTGCAGGAGCCCTGCGCATCTTGCGCGATCCCCCTGTGAGGTTTACAAGCCACCATATGGCGATGCTGGCAGCTAACTCTGCAATGGGCCTGGCCCGCACCTTCGGAGGAGATTTGATCTCACTTCAAGGCTGTTCCCGCAGCAGCTCTGCCACCACCACCGTTGCCATCGTGGCGGTTTAATCTGCTTTCAAACCTGTGCAAGTAAGAAAGTGAAATGCTCATTGTTAGGGCACAAGTTTTTGTGGGACACAGCTTATGGAGCCCCCTGAACTGGTGACAGTAGTGCCTGTGGCAGCCAGCCTGCGCCGCTCTCTGTGTCCTTCGGTCCTGTTATTATTCCTCCGGCGCTGGCAGTGAGCTGCTCCCATGGGTACGCCCCTTTGAGTCACGGCGAGCAAGGTTTGCTTCAAAATTTATATCGTACATGTTTGCTAAGCACGCCAGCTCGTTTTCACTGAAGTGGATAAGGGATGCTCCCAGCGGGCAGAAACCACTGTCAGGCAGACAGCGGCAAGCAGCTGGTATGATAATTTCTTCCACTGGGGCAGCTGAATACGGAAAAAGACATTTGTCCACGCCAGTTTAAACTGGTTCAAGGGCATCTATACAAACTGTCCAGCTTCCTGTAGCTGTGGTGCTCCGGTGCTTTGTGTAGATGGGGCTCTGGAAAACAAAGGCAATGGCCCCATCCTGAACCTGCCGTGGGCTCCGTTCAGCAAGGGAGGGGCACAGCCAGGGCTCAACACATCTGATTGTTCTTCTAGTTTGGTCTCTCTTTCTGCTCAGACCAAACTTTCTTAGACCATTTCCTTTATCAAGCAGGATACAATTAGCAGGAAATTCCTCTGGTGGATTTCCTATTCTGTGATAATCCACAGCATGCTTACGCATTGGTCAGGACAGGACGGGGAGTAAGGGTTGAGGGGGTTGAAGGCGGTTTGCAGAATCAGGAAACTGCACCGAGAGAGGAATTTGTCTCCTTTTTCTAATCTGCTTATTGTAACGTACTTCTATGTAAAGAGTGTCCTTTGCCAGGCACATCAAAGTAACTTCCCGGAGGAAGATGTGAGGTTGTGCCGTATGTTTGTCCTCTGTGTGCGATGCCGAGATGCAGAGGAGTCCCGTCGGGCTGCATCTCCTCCCAGTCACAGATATGCCTCCCTCATGGTTTGAACAGCTGCATCTCAGTTAGAATTTGACTCAATGTCGTTGTTTTGGTGCAAGAGCCCATTTTGTTTGTTTGTGAAACAAAACAGCGAGATACTTCTTCTATTAGCAGCACAGCAGCACAAGCAAGGTGAGGCAAAAACCCGTCAGTGTAGTTTATTGCCAGAGATGGGGTCATCTCTAAAGCACTTTGGAGACTCCAGATACAACAGTGGATGTTTTAGATATTCAGGAGTCCACCTGGGGAAATTTTAGGCTCATTTAGTCCAAAGAACAACAGGAAGCGATAACTTTCTCATTTACTTTGTTTTAAATGATCTGTATGGCTGGCTGCTGCTGCAGCTTGTGTGCGTACCCATGAAAAGCGGGGCACTGGCACCTCTGCGTGCATGGAAAAGGAACACAGGCAGGACACTCTTGAGATGTTCCAGGATCACCAAATCATAGAATGTTTTGGGTTGGAAGGAGCCTTTAAAGGCCATCTAGCCCAAGCCCCCTGCAGTGACGGTGTCTCTTCTTTTTCATCTTAACCATAAAATGAAAGCAAAAAATATCACTCAAAGACACACAGGGTGACAGCCCCACTGGGAGCAAATGAGCCTGTTGTGAACTGCGGTGTGGGTGGAGGAGTCAGTGCGGTATTTTTAATGTAAAGATAGCACATGAAAGCAAGCCACGTGCACAAAGCACCGCTGGCCCTGCGCTGTGACGGGAGGGAGGCTGGTGGTCTCATTTTTCCGGTCACTCAGCAAGCAGAGATGCCGTGCGTTGCTGGCAGTGGAGGCGACAGCTTACCCTCATCTCACAGCCTGGCTCTCCTCTCGCCTCTACGGCTGCTTTGCCAGCACACCCCACGGTTGTGTCATGGGTGGAAGGCGCAGGCTGTGGTACAGGGGAGAGTCCTGTGTGTGCACAACCCCAAAGCCCTTACCTGCCAGCCACGCACGGCTGCGTAAGCCCACAGCTGCACTCCAGGAGCTTACGCCACTGTTGTCTTTTCCATTCTCTGTGAGTGCAAATCCCTGTGGTTAACACCAGCTGTGTGCTTCTTCCTTTGTTACTAATATCTGTATCTTAGTTTTCCTGCACGCTCTATTATCCTAAAACTGTCTGATAGCTCACATACACACAGATCAAAGTGAAAACCTGTAATACAGTTGAAGCTCGTGACTGAATATTTCAAAACAGTGTTTTCACGCTTCCCTTTTCCCAGGTTACCTTTGGCAGACTCCAGCCATCTGTTGTCTGCTTCTGGGCAAGGAATGCACTCCAAAATACGACGGCCTCAAAAAGAGAGCATGGAGAAAGAAACTGTGGGCACCTAGTGCAGCCGTAGGAGAGATGCCAGGGCTGATTTTGGGGCATTTTACAAAACACCGAGTTCACAGTGGTAGAACCATGGAAGCTGGAAGGATCAATGTGAGGCAGCAGGCAGATCTCCCCCTTCCGAGTTGCCGCTTCAGGTTTTCTGCAGGTACATCCCTATGTCAGCTTTACTGCACCTTGTTGCAGAGATGGTAGTGTTAGAAAAAAAAAAACCCAATTTTATTTAAATAAGAACTGAGATCCTGGAGCCCAACCAGAGCTGCAGATTCCATAACCACACTGTTTTATCATCCGTGGTGCACAGGCCGATCACGTGGGTGTATTCAACTGTGTTGTGCTTGTGGTTAAGCTGACAACACACACCCCCTCAAATCCTCTCTCTGCCCTGGGAGGAAAGGGCCCTCCTGCTGCTGTGTGACAGTAAGGTGAAAGGGGAGGGTGGAAGAGGAAGAAAGCTAGGAAAGCAAGAACAGGCAGGTAGAAGGGAACTAAACAAGGTGAAATCAGCCATGGAGAAATGCGGTGGGGTGAGGCAAAGGCAGAAATATGTCTGTCATGATCAGTCCAGACATGGATGATCCAATGACCCTGTTAAAGCACGTGTGTGCTCCCCAAATGCACAAGGCAGCTCTGACTCTTCTCTTCTTATCACAGCCACCAAGCTGCCTATGGAACAGGAGCGCTGTCTTCCAGTCCAAGGCTCTTCCCACGTGCCGACAGCTGCCGCAGAAGCCCCGAATCTGTTTCGTTGTGGACTTGGACCTTCTGGGACAAAATCATTTCGAAGAGGGTGCTCATTTCTGAAAGGAAGGTGCTGGCCAGCCTCGTCCCGGCAGCATTTGAGTCAGCCCCAGCACCTTTGCCAAAGGTCTCAAAGGTCCTTGGTTTCTCCTGCCTCACAGCTTCCTCGTCCTGAGGTGAATGCGGAGAGTCAGGGGAGAAGACGTTGTCCTTGTAACTGCCGGTGAGCGGCAGGGGGAGCCGGGCCACCCTCCTTTGAACTGCCGGTGAGCGGCAGGGAGAGCCGAGCCACCCACGCCGGGTCAGCAGCTGTCAGCCTCTTAAGGGCCAGCTCTGGGAGGAGTGAAAACAAGAAGTGTTGGTGAGGTGTGGAGTAGAGGAGACCACAGGAGAGAAGAGAGGGGAAAAGTAAAAATAAATAATAAAAAAAACTCCACATATATTGAGAAATTAGACTTCCTGAAATCAGCTGTGAGAGGGCTGATTGTAAACAGGTCTAGAGTAAAGCTCCCAGGAGCATCATTCAAACCAACAGCTTAAAAGAAACCGAACAAACCAGAACTGGTTTAAAACTACCAGATTTTTTGTTTCATTTTGTTGTTTTTATCTAATAACCATTATTATCACTTTGCTTTCTGATCTGTTGCAGCCTCAAGTGACGCTTTGGGAAATTGTTAGCAAACCCAGACAAAGTGAGGGCTTAGGACTGGCTGAAGGGGGGATGACAGTGGAAAGCTCTCAAGGGGGAAGATTGGGACAGAAAGAAGGTCCCTGGTGGACTTCCCTTAAGGGTCACTGCAGGGTGGGAATTTGCTGCTAAGCAGCCATATTGAGACCAAACAGAAACGGGTTATTGTGAAACAATAATAACAGAAGTAGAATGAAATTCTGGATTATAAAACGCACAGCTGGATGGTTGAAGACTGGCAAGAAGAAATTGAGCCATAAAGTAGTTGTTCATCAATTGGAAGCAGATGAGGAGCAGCGGGAGCCAAGTGTGGGTGGAAGCTGCAGGCTCGTTAGTGTCCCAGTAATGAGATTCTGCCCCAAAACGGACAAACGAAATCACACAATGTGTTGGTCGAGGCATTCCCTGTTGGCGTAAAGACATACCCGTGGTATTGTTACCAGTTGTGGTGAGACCTGATCAGGAGTATTACATGTAAATCTGATTAGCCAGCTGTAGGGAAGACAACCTGAAATGGCAGAAGCGCAGAGAAAACTATTGAGAGAAAAACAGGAGCGAGCCCAGGCCTACGTGAGGGAGAGCCCAAAGAGGTAGAGGTTGCTTAGCCTAAGGAAGCAAATGCTCACCAGACTGACTGCAGCCTGTCATTATTTTGATGAGATAAGCACCGACAAAGGAAATTTTTATGCTTAAAATAGCCTTGGCAAAAGAAGTGATTGTAACTGTCCACAAATAAACACGTACTGGACATTAAAGGAAGGACCCTGTAAGAGGGTGAGCCTGGAATAGCTTCCTCCTCAGACGGCAGGAAAGGAAACGAGGGGTTCTTGTTTTGTCAGGTAGAGCTTTGTAGTTGGTAAACAAGGCTGCGCGAGGTGCTGCACAGACACTGCCTTCCAGCCCCGCGTCGCCTCAACTTCCAGAGCGTAACCACGAACCGCGGGGAGGTTGGAAGCAACAGCCACGTTTGTGAAATGCTCTGAGTCAGAGCAGCAGAACAAATAAACCAGTGTCTGGTAACAAAACACCAGAGTCAGATGGGAAGAGCTAGTGTAATTATAGTAACTGTGTGGCTCTGGCTTACAAAGGGAGCTCTGGAAGGAGGGTCCCTGTTGTAATGCACTTATCGTGCTGCTTCCAGAAGATAATCAATACCCTGCCACAGCCTGGGGCACGTGGTCCTCAGCCAGGGGCTAGTCAGTCACTGAGACCAGTCTCCTTCCTCAGCCCACCAAGTAATTAGTCCTTTTCCTCTGAAAAACAAACTCTATCCTGGGGCAAGGTGGAGGCCAGGAATCAAACTGGGTAAGCAGAGAAGGGCAAATACATCACTTAGATTTTGTTCCAGCTGAAGCCCCAACATTCTCGTGTGTTGCTTAACTTCTTTCTGCAATCTCAGGATTTTCTTTCATTCGCAATGACTGTTCCATTAGAGATCTCCTAAGTGTGCCAAAGTCCCATGTTTTTGCTCTAAAACAGCCACGCTTCTCCCCAGTCTGCAAGAAGCCACAGCATTCCCTGAATATTTTGATGCTTTAGCTCTGGAGCAGGGCACTACGAGTCTGCTCGCTGCGTGGAGGATGCGCTGGGCTGATGGTCCCGTGACCGCGAAACCTCATAATTAGGTATGTTCTGTTTGACTGATAAGACCTCACTGCCTTATGTTAATGCTCTTTGGGGAGCAGAGATTTTTTTTTTAATAATCAATAAAGTTCTCTCTCGCTCTGCTGCTGCTGCGAGCGCTCGTGTTTCGCTGGTGGGGGACAGGCATCGATAGACAGTGCTGGGAGCTTGGCCCACAGCTCCGAGCTTACGGCATCGGCGACCCCCGGAGCTGCCTGGGACAGGTCACTACAGCAGTTTCTTCTCCCCCGGCTGCGAAGAGCACAAAGGCCCAGCAGCCCCAGCCAGCTGTTTGGAGACTCTGGAGCGCAAGCAATTCTTCCTTCCTCACTCAGGATGCGAGTCCCCTTCCCTGTTTGTGTTCAAGAGAGGAGGAAGGAGCCCAGCAGCTCTGTTGCCGGCGCTCCGTTGCCTTTTTGGGAAGGTCTGGGCTCATGGGTAAGATTGTTTTTCACCACTGAAACCTCTTTCATCACATGCAGCGGTACGGCAGGGGCAGGAAGCCGTGCTGGCAGGGCTCAGCACACACCACCGGCCTTCGCTGCCACATTCCAGCCATTCAGCAAAAATGTTGGGGTTGGCTGGGGGGCCATTTCTCCCCTATCAAATCTGAGAAGCACAGGAGATGGCACTTCATGGAGAGGCCTCGCCATAGCACAGATCTTCTAGGATGCCACCTGTCAGAGCAGGAGTGGATCTAGACTGATCCACTGAGCAGGTCCACCAGTCCCTTTACTGGGATCAGTGAATGTCAGCGCAGCCATGGCATGGAGCTGGGCAGCCTGTTCCCTCCCAGCTGCAGGACCTTTAAATCTGAGGAAGCTTGTAACTCTCCTTTCATCCATCCTTTCCTTTGTTTGCACCTTCCTAGAATAAAAGGACGGGGAGGCAAAGGGAGAGAAGCAGCGTGGGTCTCCCTCTAAGCAAGAGCACAGAAAGTTCCCGACTCTGAAATTAAACCGACCGCAGCAGCAAACCTCAATGAGTTCTTCTTGCTGCGGAGGAGCACAGAGGCTCCACAATGAAATTTCTGCTCCAGGACGTGAGTCAGCCTCAACTCTTTCAAATTGAAATGCCAGTAGAAGAGATTTTTAGAACAAATCAATAAAAGGAACATGTAGAAAATGTCAGGCCCAGATGGTATTCACCCTGGAGTGCTAGAGGAACTCAGATATGAAATTGCTTGGTTTATTAGCTGCTGTTCGTTAACTACTGCTTCAAATGAATACAGTATCAGAGGAAGTGGAGATAGAAGTTGTGACATGAGTATTTTTAAGAGCACAAAGGTGAATCTAGCACAGGCAGATTCATAGAAATCATTATACACAAGACTCTGCAGATAGTCCCGTACCTGCTGTTCGGACAAGAACTGACGTGACATTTCCAAGGTGGGAAATTGTGGTTTGCAAATTTGTTTGCATCTTCAGAAGAGGAGGATGAAGAGTCCTGGGTGACAGAGGACCCCTGAGCTTGCAGAAAAGCCAGGCTCACAGGGAGCCTGAGCTGTCACTGAATTAACAGCCGGGTTCTGTTAGGGACTAACAGCTGGGAAGTGAAAGTAGGAATAAATAACCTTCCCTACAAAGGGAGGTCATTAGTGGAATCCCAGAGTACCCATTCAACACAGTGATAAATGCCATGGAGAAGTGGGTGCTGTTGGTGTTGGCTCCACTAAAACACCCAACAATAGAAAAGCAGAGAAAGGGATGGTGAAAGATCTTAATAATACCAAGTGCTGTGAGCAAAAGGTGCCTGGGGGATTTCTGTGTCACCAGCTGATGGGTAATTGTCGCAGGGAACGACATGTCATGCACTGATGACTGTCCCACCAGGCAGAGGAGAGATTTGGGAGTCACCAGGAGTGGCTTGGTAACAGAGCTCAGCATGGAGCTTGGGCAGGACAGGAACAAAGATCAAACCAGAAGACCTTATACTAGCAGCGTAGATGTATCCTAAACACTGTGCACATTCTGGTCACCACATCTCAAAGAGACACTAAAATCAGTAACAGGTTGGTCACAGGAAATGAGACTGGACTTGACCAGCCTGATAGGAGCCTGATGGGGCTCAAAGGGTACATATCTTGGGAGGCTGGACAAGGACAGCTCTTCACCTTTCTCATGAAACAAAGGGGCTCAGGTCAGCACAGAGAGCAGGTCATATCTGGACTTCACCCCTACTTAACAAGAGGTCAGCCTCACAAATCAGCTGAACAGAAGCAGATACCTCCACAGGAGAAAACATCTACCAAGAGTGATTGCGAACACATGAAAAAAAATCCAATATGGAGCTCAGCAAGTCCCTTTGCTGTAACCTGCTTGGTACCAAAAGCATAAGCTGGCCCATACACACTGTCCCAAGTGTCTGCCACTGTCAGAGCCATCCTAGGAGATGATCCATCCTCTGGGTTGCTGCAGGCCAGCCAGTTTTACCTCCTTAGCATGTCATTTGAGAAGATCCCGCTGCTCGAGCCCCCCAGCAGCCCCAGTGTGCTCCCCATAGCGAGGCCACCTCACCTGCCTGCGGCTCCAGAAGGGTCTCCAGCTCCTCTCCCACCAGCTGCTGCACGGACAGCTCAAACCCGCTCTCCGAATCACGGTCCTCTGCCTCGCTCTCACCGTGCCCACTGTCCTTCGTGCTCAGGCAGTCGGTGTCCAGCCCCGCAGCCCTGCCGGGGGCCAAAACACTCAGGTCACACTTCAACCTTTAGCACAGCCCTGCCCTGCTGACTACCTTGGGGGTTGTCCTTATCCCAACAAAATGACCCAGAGGTGGGGCGTGGGCATCCTCTCAGTGCATCACTCACAGCACCGAAGGCATAATCATGTCAGTTCGCACCAGCTGAAGAGTTTTGGGTTTGTTTGATTGGTTTTTTGGGGGGGGAAAAAAAACAAAACAAAACAAAACAAAAAAAAAAACCCAAAACAAAGCACCAAACATGAACAAAAGCCCTGGGATCAGGAGTGCTACAGACCCTCCAGAAACTGGGCCCCAGCTGAGGGCTGGGCTACATATGGGGCTGCTCCACATCTCTTGATCAATCTCCTTCTGGAGATCCTGAGCTCTTCACTGTGAATTTGGAGGAGCTGCCAACACGCAGGACCAGGCAAGGAGATCACATCCCAGCCCAGCTCTGCCCCAGAGCAACTCTCCCTCCCTCTCCATCCTCAGCAGGTGGGGATGTTGACGGGGAAGGTGGAGAAAGCTGTGTCTGCCCATGGCCTGGGCAGGTGGGAACAGGGTGGGGCATAGTGAAGCCCTGGCATCCTCAGGAGCATTCACCCAGAGATATCAACAGCATAATTTAATGGGAACAGCATAAAGTTTGTCTCTGGGAACATCTTCAGCACAGAGCTGGGGTATCTCGGTCCTTCCCATTCC